GTGTGTGTGTGTGTGTGTGTGTGTGTGTGTGTGTGTGTGTGTGTGTGTGTGTGTGTGTGTGTGTGTGTGACATAATTAACCTTATTCTCAGCCCCGATAAGGACATAGTCCATGCCCTGCACCACTTTGGAGACGGAGAATTAAACCACCCCCGATATAGAACCACCCCCGATATGAGTCATGACCCTTCCCTTTTCCCGAGCCTAGAAGCGCCCAGCACACCCAAACAAAACGAAGTACCGCATTTTCGTTTTTGGCTGGCCTTTAGCTCACATAAGCCGTACGACTTTTAGCTGGCCTTTCGCTCAGATAGGCCGTGACCCGGAAGTCGCAGCCCATTCCCTAGCCGGTAATTCAGAAGGATTTCCTCCGTTCATCTGATTGCTAGATTTGCAGGGAAACACACAAACTTCCGTTCTTTCTTTCTTTTACTATCAGCATTTTCTTTGAGTAGAAGGTAACTTTTCGGCGTCATTCTTCTTTTGTGTTCTGAGAAAAAATGATGCACACACAGTTGCAGTCGGAGAACTCAGAAATTTCAGAGAAAAAATGCCGTCCCCTTAATCTGTTTACTCAAAACAGACAAAGGACATGCTGTCCACATGTAAAAAAAACAGCAGGACGTTCATCACAGTGCAGCATCATGCAGTCCTGATAGTGTCCTTGAGCACAAAAGGGACAACGAATATCTGGGTGATAGGGATGTGTACAATGAGGAAATGTTGGACACCCTTCGGCACAGACGGCGGCAGCTGCAATACATTGATCGATAATGTTGATGGCATAGGTAATGAATTCCGCAGCCAAGACGCACCGCGGCCCTGTCCCGACAGGTGTCACACGAGAGTCAGTCAATCATCCAGAATAAAGTATGATTTGGCAATGCACACAGAAATTCATTTATGTTGAAAATAGACTGAATCATCCTCCCACCATCCCACAGTTCCCACTGGGCAGCTGCACGAATGAACGTCATATAATGCCCGGGTCTGTGCAAAATACAGGCAGAAATATGAGGATGGTCATTAAGGTCATCGCCTGGCGTCACATGATGCATAAGAAGGTGGCGACCGTGGAATGCTAGTTGTAAGACAGTTACAGAAAAGCCTCCTGAGGTAGTATAATTATTAATTACTACCTTCAGGAGGCGGACCATTATGGTCATACAAGAACTGATTTTCAACAGCGTCAAGCTGATAAGCAATCGTAACAAAATGGGAAGCAGTATAACAATGATGCTGATAAGCCTGTAGGCAGACATTTGTGGCTGTCAAGGCACAAGCATTTGGTAGATCTGCCCGCAGATCCGCTCCGGTCACCACTAGAAAGCTAGGTCTGATCTGGTGGGGTCAGCGCGTGAATGACGAACGCCGTCGACGTGGCAGAGCAGGCTGTCGGTATGACAAAGAACCCCGCAGATTAGCATCAACACGACGTCGAGAGGAAGGGGGACTGGGAAGAGGAGAGAATGAACGGACCTGCCGACGTCACAATATAGACAACGAAGACAAAGGAGGGGCCGATCTCAGCCGGCGTGGGGGGGCAAATGACGAAGAAGAAGAAGAGGAAGAAGACAAAGAAACGGAAGAAGAAGAAGAAGAAGAAGAAGAGGAAGAGGACACTGCCAAAGAGGAAGGAGAAGGAGAGGGAGGGGGAGAGGGAGAGTAAGGCGGAGGGGAAGTGGAAGGGAAAGGAGAAGGAGGCGGAGGGGGAGAAGAAGGGGGAAGTGGAGAGAAAGAGGGGGAAGACAGGAGGGGAAGATGGACAAGAAGGGGGAGGGGGAGGGGGAGGGGGAGGAGGATGAGAAGATGGAAAAAAGGAAGGGGGAGGAGGCGGGGGAGAGAGAGAAGGAGAAGCGAAGGAAAGGGAAGGAGAAGGTGGAAGAGGATGATGCACGGACCAGCGAAGCATACGTCGAAACCATTGTGTAAGACAAGTTACTTATAGGTTCTCCGCGTTGGCGAGCACGAATGTAACGAGTCCATCCTCGGGCCAATGTCGAAGGAGCATGGCCACAGGAAAGCAAACGGCGGATAAGCATGGTTGCCGCAGTTATGAAATCATGCCAATTGTCACAAATCTGCTCAAACCTCGTAAGCTGGCCAGTGAACACACCAGCAGGCTGATGAGATGGAATGTTCGACGTTGCACTAGGATATCGTATAACAGGAAAGTCACATGCAACAGTCTTGTCAAACACACTCMATCGGAGAGATCCGTCTGCTCGTGTCTGCAGTTTCGCACCTAAAAAGGTGCACGAGCCATCAGCCGCAGTGGTCTCCTTCCATTCAAGACCATAATAGGTTGGCGACGGCGGCAGACAACCAAAGGTTAGAACATCATCAATGAACCGATAAGTGAAAACATATCGGCGAGCTGCAAAGGGATCCACACGCTGCAGGTTGTCCACGTATTGCGCCTCATCCCAATAGAGTGTGAGGTTAGCAATCTCAGGACCAGCGTTTGTACCCATGGGAATACCAACGTCTTGATGGCGAACAAGGCCATCCGCTGTATAAAGATACATATTAGTAACAATAAACCGAAGACGTTAAGGAATTCCAGACACAGGAGTGTTAGATCCCGCATCCGTAGTCCATTCCCCTGCGCGCGGTCCACGGACCACCATACGAAGAGCAACACAGGATGAGTGTGTCCGTGTATGCTGCTGTGCCTGTGCAAGAGCATAGGCATGTGCCTCATCAACGGCCTTAGCAACATTGTTAAGAATCCATGGATGAGAAAGAATACATCGTAGTGAAATCGACCGTATAAGGGGCCAGACCTCGGAGAGAAGCTTTATTCTTTTTGAGGTCAAGCATGACCTTGTCATTGCTCTGGTCAATCCAATATCGTCGAATACCTTCAGATTGGAAAAGTTGATTATCTTTTTCATGGAGAGTACGGATGACACCATGTAGGTGTTGTACTAGCAACAGGCTTGCGAGGCAGTCAGTGATGCAAACGCTGGACTCGTTGGGAGGGGACCAGGTCACTTCACTGGGCCGTATGAGAAGAACAAAGATTGTTGCGGGCAGTGATACCAAGAATAGTACGGAGTGTGGGAGGAGACTTATGGGCCTTGAGAGCACAATAAAGATACGGCAATGTGTCAGCATGAGGATAATTCCAATGATTGTTCCACAGTGCGTGGCTATTCAGAATGTCGGCCGCTGTTTCAGCGGGCCGAGAATACGTAGGACTGTCAAGATGAGCAAAAATCTTAAAACGATAGCAGTTTTTACAACAAATAGCCAGATTATGTGATGTTTTGTCCGCAGGAACAATTGCAGAGGATTTTTGGAGCTGACGCAGGGCCATACGTGCGTGTCGCAAAGAGCGAGGTTGTCGCAAAGGTGATGCGGTAGCCATATTGCACTCACAGTGATGCAAAACTGCGGCACGCCAAAGAGCCAATTGTGAAGCTAGGGTAGCAGCGCAGGATTGTCGTGCTGTCGCACGAAGATACTCAGCAATATTACTCATCAATACCAACAGCCAGTGCTTGAAGTATATCCCCTACTACACCATTCGGTCGATATTTAGAGCCCTCATAGAACAGGCGGCGGAGGATAGCATCCGGAATCAGATCATAGTTCGCCGAAACAACATGGCCGTCAACCAGATCGGTGCAGTTAGGAAACGCCTGACGACAAGGACAATCAGCAGCAGCAGGTAGGCGCAGGCCCGGAGTGACACTCGAGGCAACTTCCGTAAAATTACAGAATTGCACCCTTGTTGGGGGTACAAGTTTGTCACAGATGCGAATAGTGCTGGCTGCCTGAGGGTCAGCTTGTAATGCACACACATCCGGAGAATGCAACACACGGTGCAGCTTAGTGGCCTTCAGGATCTCGTGCATGTCAGTATATCGTTGTCTGACATGTTGAAATCGCCGAATAAGGCATTCAAGTTCATGGACGTTCTCAGTCATGTCAGCATTAGAAACATTCATATAGAGCCATTGCAGCAAGCGAGCTCGCCAAACAGGCGCAGCCCGCTGAATGGAAGCAACAACTTCAAACCAAGTACCCGCTGCACCTAACGTCAATAACCGTCGTAGCGTTGTTCGTACTGCATCGAAGCCCGAACGGTGCAAGGTACGCAGCCATCGGGCCCAGAAGCGCCTTCTCTAGGTGAGGCCGCCCGCCGAAAGATGTATATATCTGAGTGGGGATCCGGGCAGCCCGGGGGACCGGCAGGGGCCCGGGGGACGTCTCGGGCGGCCTGGCCGGCCAGGGCACCCGGTTGGGTGCCGGGCCCCCCAGCGCACTCACCTGTCAGGGGATTTTGAACCCCCTTTGTGTGTGTGTGTGTGTGTGTGTGTGTGTGTGTGTGTGTGTGTGTGAGAGAGAGAGAGAGAGAGAGAGAGAGAGAGAGAGAGATGTGTTCGAATCATACTTAATGCGCATCTCATGCGCGGGGGTGCCGCACACGCATGCACGCACGCACAAGTGATGCGGCGCATTAAAAAAGTAGAAAAATAAAAAACGTCCTAGTTGTGTCCAGCCTCATTTCGGAAGGATCCCTACAGCATATTAGCTAGGACCTGACGTCATGCAGAGAAACACTTCAAACTTGTACTCCGTGAGGGTGGGCAGCGCGAACCCTCTTTGTGTGTGTGTGTGTGTGTGTGTGTGTGTGTGTGAGAGAGAGAGAGAGAGAGAGAGAGAGAGAGAGAGGTGTTCGAATCATCCTTGCAGCGCATCTCATGCGCGGGGGTGCCGCACGCACATGCACGCACGCACAAGTGATGCGGCACATTAAAAAAGTAGAAAAATAAAAAACGTCCTAGTTGTGTCCAGCCTCGTTTCGGAAGGATCCCTACAGCATATTAGCTAGGACCCGACGTCATGCAGAGAAACACTTCTTTTTTAATGTGCCGCATCACTTGTGCTCCGTGAGGGTGGGCAGCGAATATATAGTCTGGATTCGAATTCAGGCCTATGCATCTCGGTTATGGGTCACTATTTCTCTGTTTTCTCGCTTCTCTTTTTCTTTTCTCGTTTTTATTTTCTTAGGAATACGTGCAGTGGCCCTAAGGGCCTCTACAAAACATAATTCTTTAAGCCCAACCAATTCAATTACCTGTCAAATCTGGACAGGACGGCCTTTCAGGCCTTTTTTATTGTCATTATAGTATTACGGGGAACCCCTTAGCAGCCACATCCATGCTCAAGCCTCCAACGAGGGAACATGCGGGAGCTGCACCCACCAGCAGGTGCGATACCTGCTACAGCAGTTGGGCGATACCGGCCAGGGGTCAGCCGGTAGCATCAGGACCGAGCTTCTTCGATGGGCCTGTCACTGTGCCTCCCCTCCGGTCCCCTCCCCCTATGAACATCAACAGTCTCTGCTCAATGCCACTCGTGGGAACCAACAGCATATCTCGAGGTGGCGGGCGCCAAGCTTGCCCAGGAAGGTACATAAGGCCAATGGGGATTGAACCCAAGACCTCCTGAATGCCACTTGCGTGCCTTACCAACTGAGCTAGGCCGCTGGATGTGGCGTAGTATTCCACATTCTGCAGAAGATTCATTCTAATTTTGCACATTTCGTGAGTAGTGCAGCCAAGCCCTAAGAGTCACGTGCAGAGACCAACAGGGCCTAGCTACGTGAGCAACCCATAACTGCTGAAACACAGACCTAAGTTTGAATCTTGAGTATATATTCGGCCAGCTCATGCCGACGTGCTCTACTTCATATTCACTGCCTGCCTCGATGTTGATGGGGGGGTCTGCGCTGCATGGCACGAGGACCCTTCAGATGGACTGCATGGGCCGTCTGAGCCGTATTAAGGGGATCCGCTCTCCCTCTCTCTCTCTCTCTCTCTCTCTCTCTCTCTCTCTCTCTCTCTCTGTTGCATAGTGTAACGTGCAGACCAGAACAAGAACCGACCTTTCAATACAAAGTGTAAGATAGCACAACAGAAGACTTAGATACCAGTGATCCAAACAATCAATGTTGTAATGCAGTCCTGAACATACATCATCATCATCGTTACATGGTGTGAATGGACCTGGCGCTTCACACACGAAGACAGCGCCAGCCCGTACCATACACAGACGAAGAGGAAGGGGATAGACGAAGAGGAGGGGGAAGATGGGAATGTCATC